TGTGTATTTAAATTAAAAAAGTAATGTATACCTTTATCAGTGACATTATTAATGATTTTGTTTCTATAAACGTTATTAGGAATGGCTTTTACATTTTAAAACTTTTTAAGAGATTTAATATATCTATTTAGTTAATCAAATAGTAGAATGAATATAAATGTACCAATAATATTACGGAGGGCTTCGACACCGAAAACAAATTTTAGAAAGGTGATTATCTGTTCTCCGAATGATGTTTAAGTTTATTATATAGGATACTATTATATAATAATATATTTTAAAAATAACGTTCATAGCGAATATTTCTAGGAACCCCGAGAACGACTACATTCTTATGCATTATTTTAATGTAATATAAGACAACTCTTTTGTGGATAATATTGTACAACTCTAACTGTCTAATTTACCTAATTACTAGATATTAAATCCACTGATTATTACGCACATCCAGAATTTCCATCTCGCATTTTTATGAGAAAAATATAAATTTTTGCACGACAATATCTATTCTCAGGAATAGATTTTGTGTGCATCTACTTTAATAAATTGGTGCGTACAGTATCACATTTTTCTGGAAAAGTTGTCTGAAATAACAATGATATTGAAGATTTATGAAGAAACAATTGTACATATTGTACGTACATATCCTACCTATCGAGTCCAAAGCACAGATTGACCTCGAATATTTCTAACGTCTTTTACTATAAATTGTAAAATAAAGACATGTTTAACGACTTCACAAGGTTTAACAAGTTCTTGCTTTTGTATTCTTCCTCTACTCTAATAAATATTGGTATGCGACTCGGACGATAGGAAAATATAGTACAAATTTAGAAATCCACGTTGCCCTGCCTCGTAGGCCTAAACACAATGGAAAATTCCTATTTATTGTTTATGAAAGATTTGTCATAGTCTCAATATATGGTGGGGGTCGTGATTTGAAGATATGTGCCTAAAGTATTGAAAATATATTTGATACAATACAATACATACTTTGAAAATCAGCAGAATTCTGTTAAAAATTTTATTGTATATTTAAATTTATTTTATAGACACTGTACAATATTTTCCTATAGCTAATGGAAGGTACATGTACAAATCTATTATGATTAATGAGTAAAGGATTTCTAGGCATACTTTTACAAATTATACGTGAGTGAGGCTGGGGTAAATTTTCACACATTTACAATTTATTTTCTTAAAGCAATTTTATGAAATGGCACCTTAAAAATAATCAGAATTCTGGCAAATTATTTTATTTATTTTTTGAAAATAAAAAAATGTACATATTTTAATGTCATCTGCGAACATGTTTGAAGTATCTCTGACATAATCCACTATGGGTAGAATGTTGTTGCACAATTGTCGTAATTCCCTTATATCTTGTTGAGTTACTTATGAGGCGAAGGAATTTGTTTTCCAGTACCTGCAATTTCTGTAACGTCATCACGCTCGTAGGACACCAGGCCTGCGCAGCATATACTAATGCCGGTCTCACTATCATCGTATAAATTAATTTTTTATTATCTCTGTTTAGTCTGCTATTCCCCGCCATCAAGGGGTATAGACAGGAGTCTATAACCCCGAGAACGTCTATTCCCTGTCTAGGAGGACAGGGAATAGACGTTACGTATCGTCTCGTTAACGTGTTTTCTAAAATAAAGTCCCTTATCCAAAGTTACGCCTAAATATTTTACGTCTTGTTTCGTTTGAATTTGGCTGCCCACCATCAAAACAGGTGTAATTATTTTATTATTTATTCTTCTTCTAGTGAAAATAATAGTCTCCGACTTAGCGATGTTCACCTTCACTTTCCACTTGGCGTAATATTTCGACACCCGTACCATATATGCCCTTATCAACTGCCCAGTGGCCTGAGCATGATGATTGTGGCAATACATGGCGGTATTGTCGCAGCTTGGTGTTCGGGAACTGCGGAATGTCGGACACGTATATGTTATATACTTTTGGTGCAAGAACCGACCCCTGCGGGACGCCTGCACTACTGTCCCTCTGTGTTGATAGAATTTTGTTCACTCTCAGTCGCAGCGTTCAGCCGTACAAGTAAGAGTGTATCAGTTGCATTATATGCCCCGACAAGTCGTACCGGTGCAGTTTATATATGATACCGGGTAACCAGATGGTATCGAATGCTTTCTAAATATCTAAGAGCACCATCTCAGTGCTTTTGTCGAGATTATACTGTCGCTTGACGTCATTGACGATCTTGATGATCTGCAGAGTCGTGCTGCGTCCCTTTTTTGAAACCGAACTGAAAATCGTCGTGGATTTCAAGATCGTCCTGGGCGGTGTTTACCCGTTTCAGGAAGATCTTTTTAACCAGCTTAGATATCGCCGATGGTAAAGATATCGGACGGTAACTAGAAACCGTTTTCGGATTTTTGTTCGGCTTCAAGATAGGACACATCAGCGCACGCATCCACTTGCTAGGCCAGTGTTGCAGACGCAGAATATCATTGGTGATGTACGTAAGTTGGACATTACCCTTTCTCGGCAGATTCTTAAGTAGCTTATGATCTATACCGTCCGATATCGGCACTTTCTTGTTTGCGAGAGTCCTGATATGTTTTTTCATCTCCGCGGTTGTGGTCATGGTGGCTAAAATTTGCTGTCGCGTCATAAGAATTTGGACTCCATGACCGTATATTTATGCAATTGTGTTTTCGATTCGGCTATGGTCGATATTGTTCGGATAATTTTCATTGTGTATATTTTCAAACTGGTTGGCTAAATGGCTGGCTTTTTGCCCGTCTCGTATGTACATGGTCTGATAGCCGTTTGCGTTGTTTTCTGACAGGGCTGGAATGACCTGCCTCTTGCGCTTCGTTATTTTCCACAACGAACCGTCTTGGGGATTAAGCAAATGTAATTTTTCACATCATTTCTAAATTTTTTCGGTGCTCATGGAGTTGCGAATCAATGTTTGCAGCCTGCTTTTTCACCTTGGCAGCTACATCTCTATTTCGTTACCAAAGCCGTCTCAGTCGGTTTTTGTCGCATATCATTTATCTGACCGTGTTGTCCACTAATTCTTTGTATGAGTCAATCTTTATAGTTTGGATAACGTCCCGTTTGACCTCCTGGAGAATGCCCGTGAATACATCGACAGCACCTTCCAGTCACCGGTATTGTTTATATTGCTATTTATTTCAAGCCGGTATTGATGAACTGACGAAAAGCCGGCCAGTTGGCATTTTTATAGGACGCAACCTCAATCGCAGCGTCCTCCCTCGACACACCACGCTGATTAATTAATTGTTAAATATCTCGAACTTTTCCAGTTTCGTATTGCAATTTACAAGCGTACCTATCACAGCTTAACACTGGGTAGCATCAGGTCCAAGTCTATGATGTCGGATAACGTTTGAAAAGCCGACTGCAGCTTCGAAAAAATCCCCATGCTCCCTGCAGTTGTGGTAATCAGTCTTTTCATCTGTTGTTGTTGTGGCTGCTCTTGTTGCTGCTGTGCTGTTTGTGGGACCGCCTGGGATTGCGTCCTTCCTGTTCCGGGCAGCTCCGGGAACTGCCTATTATAATTTTCAGCATTTCTTTCCACTGGGACTGGTCAAACCTATGCGTTCGCCCGTGCTGGTGACGCTGCTATATATCTGGTCTGGGGGCTCCACTTTCTTTCTGATAAATCTTACATTCTGTAGAATTCGCCGTATGGCCCCCTTTTCAGTTGGCACACTTGGCTGGCTGCCTTTTGTTCAACATATTCCTTTGTGATGTGTCCTCCAGAATATTTCACACAGCTTGCAGGTGCACGACAGTTTGCAGTTGCGTACCTCCACGCTTGACAGTGGTGGCACTGAAGTATAATTTTAGTATTGTAGCGTCTTCTCCAGGTCACCGCAGTGTACTGGAGATACCTCACCTCCTTGGCCAGGACTTTCATTGTGACCGACGATGCCGTCACCACCAGGAAGAGGGGAAATCTTGTTCCCATCAATTTGTGGATCTGTTTCGTTTTGATTTTGTATATTTCTCTTAACTCTTATTTCAAATCGTCCAGATCCACATCCTCATTCAGTCCATGTAGGACGAACCCGTGGTTCTTCTCCTCTTTTTGGGTATATGTATAGAAATAAATTTTCCTGTTTTGCTTTTTCGCCTGTAGTGTTCTTTTTTTGGTTTGTTTCTGTCGTCGTTTCTGTCTCCGTGTTCTTCACTGTTTCATTCATATCTTTGCCAACGTCCTTGTTGCCCTTCAATGTTTTAAACTTATTGTCTGTTCTAATTTCTTTCATTTTTTTCTTCTATAGTCTTCCTCTTCGTCGTTAGGTGCGTGAATGTATTGTCCTGTTCGTCTGTTACTCGATGTCTTATTTTCATTATACTTTCCAGCTTTTCCGTCTGTGTCGTCTCTGTCGTGTCCATGTTCATATCTTGATTTTTGTTCATTTTGGCAATTTTTTGCCTCCTCGCCTCATTCTCCAATGATGAGGTTTAGGCGGACGATATCGTTGTCAAGTCTTCTTCCTTCTTTTTCTTTATAATTGCTGTTTCTTCTGCTTTTAATTTGGTGTGCGCTTTAGAATTTTATTTCCTTCGCTCCGGGTAATACCCGTATGCCAAATCATTTGTTTTCACTCATTTTATATTTCCGGTGTCAAATTTGATTTTAAACCTCACTTATTTTTATCTGTGAAATTTAGAAACAAAATTTTTTTAACCTAATCAATATCAAATGAAAATTAATTTATTTCAAATCACAATCACTCTTTTATTTATTTTAGATTTTTTTCGTCTATTCTCTCACTAACGTTCTTTTCTTTATGTTCAGTACCTTTATGCCACACCTATACAAATATCCTTTTTTACTACACTTATTAAATCACTTATGTTCCCTTCAAAACCTTTTTTTTTTCACAATCACGAATTTTCACGATTCTACAGTGTACCCAAAAAGATCACTTCTTAGAAACAATAGACACACATCTAACGTTTAGGATTCATTTCTGGTTTAGAAAAAATCCTAGCTCCTGGACCGGGAATCGAACCCGGAACTCCTGGGTAAGAGACAAGTGTCCTTACCACTCAATCACGAAGCCAGTTTATAGGCGATTAAATTCCATTACGGTTAAAGAAAAATATCCGTTGCTTCTAATAGATGACAAGATAGACATGCTTGGTGGTCATAAATTTTTTATATTATATTTAGCTTCTTACTATTATCAAATACATATTGAAGAAGATTCCATAGAAAAAACAACTTTTATAGCCTATGGCACTAGAAATTTTTGAGAATTCTGTCTGGGTTAGAAAAGGTAGAAAAGGTTAATAATGTATTAAAGTGTTACATTAACAAAATAGTTGTTGCATATATAGACGATCTTGTAATATCAGGCCATAGTGTTGAACAAGTTTCATCTAGGTTAAGAATTGTATCAGATGCCTTAAGGTAAGGAAACCTTACACTTAAACCTAATAAATGTAACTTTTTACAATCCAGTATTAATTATTTGGGTAGAGAAATTAGTGAATACGGGGTTCAACTTGGTAACGAAAATATTAAAGCTCTAATGGATATGAGAGAACTTACAAATATAAAAGAAATTAGGAAGTTTCCAGGCCTTTCGGGGTATTTTCGAAAATATTTTCAAATTTATGCCACTGTAGTTGAGCGTCTTACAAGATTGCTCAAAAAATATGTTACATTTGTTTGGTCAAGTGAATAGCAGGAACCATTTATGAAGGTTAAGTCAATTTTAGTTACACGCCCAATATTAACAATATTTGATCCTAAGTTGAAAACAGAGTTACACACGGACGGTAGTATTTTGGGTTTGGCGCCATGTTAACCCTCTAATGCATATATCCGCCTCAAGGCGGACTTTACCTGAGCGCTTATTACGGTCAGGTATAAAATTTTACAACCCTCTTTGCATAATGCCGATTTAAGGAGAGCTTCAACCTATACAGCGGTATATTACTTGCTGTTGTCGCATCTATGGTTTAGTAGCAGCAGTTAGTTGAAATCAGAATTTCGTTGAGAACGGAGAATAAATTGTTTTGTGAGAGTGCATCGATTTCAAAAATTATAAATAAATAATTGTGAAAGTGCAAGTGAACCGGAAAAATTATTAGTAAGTAGCTACTATTCTATATTATATGTTTTTGGTGTTTATTGCAGTAAAAAATATTTTTGGGGCACCAAAACTGCCGAAAATGTACTAACCGCCTCTAGGCGGACTTGTGCAGTGCAGTATAAAATCTGTTATCACAATTATTTAGTTTGGAAATAATTTTTGTTCTGTTTGTTTCTGTGAAATTTCAATGAAATATATTAAAAAGGTGTTGTAATATTTACGTTTTATATGTTTAAGGGATAAAATACTAAAACTTGCCTTTATCTTGTTTATAGTCATGGCACATCAGAGACAATATTTGAATTTATCTAAAATGTCAGATCAGGAGATAATAGAATTGATGGATTCAATTCCAACTGATGACGAAGGCACCAGTAATGACGAGGAAGGTGATTTTGACAGCGATAGTGATAGTGTTGAACACCCAAATGACATAAGTGCCGAAGACTAATTGGCGATCGACGTGTATTTGAACGGAATCAGAAATGCATCATCGCCTGAACTAATTGCAGACGCAGTGGAGGACACTGTCAGTATCGACAGAGAGTTACTTCCGCCTTCTTCAGCCAGTTCATCCTCAAAAGATGAAACGGCTGTACTGTTAGAGCCAGTGGTTATTCAACCTAGTATGCCATCCACATCCACGGAAACTGAACAAGGTGTTATGCCACCGCTCACTAGAACTTTCAAACGTCGGAATCGTGTTCGGTCGCCGGAACTAGTAGAAGAGGAGGGCGGTCCAAACGTCCCCACTACAGGAACGTTCACCGGTAATATCCTTTCAATGACGAACGATTCCAAACAATTCCAGTCAATTTCTTGGAGGAAGAAAAATCTTCAGCTGCACGTTAACGAATTAATATTTCGTGGGGAAAATCAATTACCACCAAACTTGAAGGAATTGATCACTCCGTATGATTGTTTTCGTTATTTTATGAATGACGAACTATTCCAGCATCTTACCGACCAAGCCAATTTTTATGCACGTCAACAGAACATTAGAACCAAATTCAAAGTGGAGCTGATCGAACTTCATAAATTTGTGGGCATTATGATTTATATGTCTGTTTACCGCTACCCAAATGTAAGATCATATTGGGAGAAAGCATGCCTTCGAAGTCATTCGTCAGACAATGCCGGTACTGAGATTTGAAGAAGTCCGCCGATACCTGCATTACAATGATAACTCGGCGGCAGTAAAGAACGGTGCACCAGGATATGATCGTCTGTATAAAGTTCGGCCGCTTATAAACCATTTGAACAAGCGGTTCTTATCAGTGCCTATGCTCCAGCGACTTTGCGTGGATGAGCAAATGTGTGCAACCAAAATGACAGGAACCATTCTTCGTCAATACATGCCGAAGAAGCCTCATAAGTGGGGCTACAAATTCTTTAGTCTTTGCGACTCCACTGGCTTTTCGTATGCCTTCGAAATTTATTCTGGTGCTGGCGATAACACGATCCCCGAAGGAGCTCTAGATCTTGGAGCATCTTCAAACGTCGTTGTCCGTCTGTCAACACATTCCAGATTTTGTGAACCATATCATCTACTTTGACAATTTCTACACATCTTTGGGATTACTTGCATACCTTCGGAGTCGAGGAATCTACACCTTGGGTACTGTGCGTGTGAATCGTGTGCCCAATTGCAAGCTTTCCAGTGATCAGACTCTTACCGCAAAGAAAACAAAACGAGGTTATTCCGAAGAGTATGTTGGCAATGTATACGGTATCGATATTTCCTCAGTTTTGTGGCACAATACTAAAACAGTGCGACTTCTTTCAACTTACGTTGGGTCGAAACGATTTCTTTCAAAAAACACCGACACTCAACCGTCCAAGGCAATTCGGTGGGACAAAAAAGAAAAGAAGCACCATGAAGTGGATTGTCCTTATATCATTAAGGAATATAATCGGCACATGGGAGGTGTTGATTTGATGGATGGATTGCTCGGGCGTTATCATATCCGTATGAAAACTCGAAAATGGTCCAACCGCATATTTTATCATCTCGTCGATGTGGCAATGGTGAATGCTTACATACTGTACCATAGAATTCATCCCAAAGAGAGAAAAGTCGAACTCCCGCTGTTCCGTACAGAAGTGGCAGAATCGCTCTGCATGTACGAAATCGTGCCAGAGAAGAGAGAAGTGTTGGTCGACCATCCTCTTCATCCCCCAGGTCCTCTCCAATACCAACAAAGCGGGCATACCTGCCAACAGGTGACGTGCGCTATGACCAAGTAGGCCATTGGTGCATTTTTCAGGACCGATCAGGCAAGAAGCAGTGCTAGTTCCCCAAATGCACCTCCGAAACACAAGCATTTTGCGTCAAATGCAACCTGAGCTTATGTAATTCCACAACAAAAACATGCTTTTATGATTTTCACAATAAGCCTAAATAAAAGCATTTTTTTATATTATTCATTTTTTTCTTTGTAGTTACCTTTGTTACTTTTTGCCAAATTATTTTAGTCTTATATTAAAGACATAGTGTACTGCACAGATCCGCCTACAGGCGGACTTCCTTCTTTCACCTGTAGCAGGTGAGGGTGACACTAAAATTAAATTCTGATATCAGATTTGTATTTATCATCCCAAAATTAACCCACACTGAATTTATGAGCTCAAAAAAATTCATGCATTAGAGGGTTAATTTAATTAAATAACAATAAACATTAGGTCGTGAGTTACTTTACCAAATAGACCACCCCAGAACAACGTCGCTATCATTCCTATGAGTTGGAGACCTTAGCAGTTGTACTAGTCTTAACATATTTTAGAGTTTACCTACTAGGAATTAAATTTAGTCTTGTCACCAATTAAAGCGCCTTACGTACAGCATTTACCAAAAGTAATCTAGTACCATGAGTGGACGGTGGTGGCTGCAGGTACAAGACAATGATTATACGTAGGCCGGGGACAAAATTGGGACATATAGACGTTCTGAGTCGAAATCCAGTAGCAAACTACATGCATATTGCAGCGTTAGATATTACTGAGATTGAATGGATTATAGCTGCCCAAATGCAAGATGAACATACAAACGTGATTCGCAACATATTGAAGGAAGGGATTAGGGAAAGAAGTACCAAACAATATTTTGAGAATTATGAGTTACATAATCATAACCTGGATATAAAAGTGAACGGTGAAAGGTCAATGTGGGTGATCCCTAAAGCATCAAGGTGGCAAATATGCAAGCTGTGTCACGATAATAGTGGCCATTTGGGCGTTGAGAAAACGCTTAAGAAGATACGTGAAAATTATTGGTTTGCGCAAGCCCGTAGGTTTATGAAAAAGTATGTTGAAGCTTGTTTATCTTGTATGTATTAAAAGAACGTTAGTGGTAAAAAGGAAAGATTCCTGCAACCTATAGAAAAAGTTCCTATTCGGTGTCATACTATCCACATTGACCATTTAGAACCATTTGAGAAAGCACTAAGAATATTTTTTAGCCATTGTAGATGGGTTTACGAAGTTCTGTTTTATTGAAGCAGTAAAGGACACCTGAACATGACCAGTAACTAACTAATGCACTACTCAATATTATGTACATTTTTGGAGTGCATACGCGTATCATATCTGATAGAGATTCTGCTTTTACGTCTACAACTTTAGAACATTTTGTGAAATGTATGGAATAAAGCAAGTACTTAACGCAGTAGCTGCGCCCAGAGCCAATAGACAATGTGAGGATTATAACTGTATTAAACTCGCTTGCATGTTCGGCAGTATATTCTGAAAATTTATGGAATATCTTTATCAAGAAAATTCAGGCTCTATAAATATGAGTTACAATGCGTCAGTTCGTATGATCCCCTTAGAAGATTAAGTAGATACAAAGGGAAAAACATGGTCGAAGGAAAACTATTAGGTGCTGTATAGAGACAGTTGGAAATGGATAATTTAACCGAATTATGGAACAAAAATTCAAAAAAAGTTGACCATCTAGTATCTAC